CTATACCTTGTTATCTCAGATTTAAGGTGATTGGCAAAAGAACCAGAATCAGCATTTGAAACTTTTCAAAAAGAAGCAAGTGGTATATAAATGAATGTTATAATTCTCCTACTGTGCATTTCCACTCTTTGCACCGAGGCTAATGCTTATTAAACATCTACCTTATCTGAAAAAAATAACATTGCTCCTTTTCAGCTGTACGGTCCAGCTTCTCTTTTATTGTCCTTTTAACTTGACTACTTCTGTAGTAGTCCTTGCAACTTTCTTTTTCTGATACCTTCAAGGCAGGGCAACCAGTTCTGACAAAATAAAAGAATGGACACTTTGGAAGGGTGTGGTGTTGGACGGTGTAAGGAGGGAGGAGATTTGGGAGGAGAGTAGACCCCTGGGAAGGAGGGGAAGGGGATTAATAGTCATCAAATCAAAAGAATTTCCAACTACAAAACTTTACCCCTCACAATGAATGTTTCATGTACAAAATAGTTTACAGTATGCCTGCACAACCTAATCAATGACACAGAAACAAAGTTGCTGGAAAAGCTCAGCAGGTCTGGCAGCATCTGTGAAGAAAAAATCAGAGTTAACATTTCTGGTCGGGTGACCCTTCCTTAGAACTCACCTGACCCGAAACGTTAACTCCAATTTTTTTCTTCACAGATGTTGCCAGACCTGCTGAGCTTTTCCAGCAACTTTGTTTTTGTTCCTGATTTACAGCATCTGCAGTTCTTTCGGTTTTTATTTACTAATCAATGACACCATGTTTTCTTTCAAAGTTCTACACTGCTTGGACACAAGAATTTACACATCTCTGTCCAACTCCACTCTTCCGAAAAACACATTCAGCTGCCCCTCTTTCTATCTCCACACACCCCACCCATTATAAAAAAATCCTGTCAAACTTGACCAGTCCCCTCAAAGGACTGAAGCACTGCCACTCTAATTGCAACTTTGGACTAGTGATCTTCCAAAATCCCACTAGCACTTTTTACCCCATTGTTGTCTCTTGCCCTCTCACAGCTGAACCCAGATGCATATCGTGAAGGCGATAGTGCATTGTTTATGGTGTTCTCAGTATCACATGGACATCAAACTAAGCCAGCTACTTGCAACACCATTGCGTACAAAAGTATCATTGCTGCACTTTCTTTTCAATTAAAACCTGGGAGAGAAATTGATTTTGGCGAAGAACACGATAACTTGAGTTACTATAGCACTCGATAATTCCCCATTCTCAAACATTCCCTCTCCACAAGCCCACCTTTCCCACCAGATTTGTCTCCCCTTGTGTCACCCCGACTTCCCATGGCCAGTGAAAAAGTGAACGCTCTCTTTATCACCTGACTGACGGCTAAGAATCATTCAATCAAACAGCCCTTTTCTATCCACCCCCAAATCTCTTCCATCTCTAAAACCTGGAGACTCTAGGTCTATGCTGGAAATTTGGCAACTTTCATAACAGTCAATTATTGACTGACTGGAGGTTGCTTGCATTTCAGCCCCCCACTCCACTGTTATATTAAATCAGTAGTGCATTTTACAATTCAAACAATGATCGAGTTATCCTCCAATTACATCTCTTTCACAATGATTTGCAAAAGCAGCTTGTGTGCATTTTTCTATGTTTGGTTGCTGCCGGTTCTAATCCAACAAGTAACATGTGTAAGTTGTCTATCTTAATGTTTTCTATGTCGAATAATTTGTATTTGTTTTCTTTCACAGCTCCACAGAGTCAGAATGGGCAACCTAGCTGGTAAACATAACAGTCATCATAGTCTTACAGACCAGCCTCCTAAAGTAAGGACACTTGCTTAACTAATTAACTTGGCTTTTTATGTGGGTGCATGTAGAATATCTCCAGTTATTGATTTAAACATTTTGCAAAGTCATTTACTATTGACCAAGATATTGATTGATTTCTTTTTTAATCCAATTAGTTAAGAACACTTTTTTGCCTTTAGATAACATTTTATATGAAATGAGGAGATCCCAGAACAAAGCTAACAAAGTACTTTTGACATATAGTCACTGCTGTAATGTAACAAACATGGCAGCCAATCTGTGCACTGTAGACTCCCATGAACAACCATGTGATAATGGTCATATGATTTAGTTTGAGACCTAGAGCACGGAAACAGAACCTTCGGTCCAACTTGTCCATGCTGGCCAGATGTCCTTTATAAATTTAGTCCCATTTGTCAGCATTTGGCCCATTTCCCACTAAACCCTTACTATTCATTTCACATCCAGATGCCTTTTAAATGTTGTAATTGTATCAGTCTCTACCACTTCCTCTGGCAGCTCATTCCATACACACACCACCCTCTGCGTGAAAAAGTTGCCCGTTAGGTCCCTTGTGTATCTGTTTGGACTCACTCACGGGGACAAGACCTTGCCTATTTACCCTATCCATGATTTTATAAACCTCTGTAAAGTCACCCCTCAGCCTCCGATGCTCCAGGGAAAGTAGCCCCAGCCTGTTTAGCCTCTCCTGATAGCTCAAACCCTCTAACCCTGGCAAAACATACTCATAAATCTTTTCTGAACCCTTTCAAGTGTCACAACATCCATCCTATAGGAGGGAGACCAGAATTGCACACAATACTCCAATGTCCTGTGCAGCTGCAACATGACCTCCGACCTCCCAACTCCTGCACTCAATGCACTGACCAATAAAGACAGGCATACCAAACGCCGCCTTCACTATCCTATCTGCCTGTGACTCCACTTTCAAGGAACTATGAACCCGTACTCCAAGGTCTCTTTGTTCAGCAATGCTCCCCAGGACCTAACTGTTAACTGTATAAGTCCTGTCCTGATTTGCCTTTCCAAAATGTAGCACCTCACATTAAACTAAATTAAACTCCATCTGCCACTCCTTGGCCCATTTGATCAAGATCTCGTTGTACTCTGAGGAAACCTTCTTCGCTGTCCACTACACTTCCAATTTTAGTGTCATCTGCAAAATTACTAACCATACCTCCTATATTCGCATCCAAATCATTTGTATAAATGACAAAAAGCAGTGGACCCAGCACCGATCCTTGTGGCATACCGCTGGTCACAGGCCTCCAACCTGAAAAGCAACCCTCTGTCTTCTACCTTTTGAGCCAGTTCTGTATGCAAATAGCTAGTTCTCCCTGTATTCTGTGTGATCTAACCTTTCTAACCAGTCTACCATGAGAAACCTTGTCAAACGCCTTTATTTGTGGTTGAGGGGTAAATGTTGGCTGGTGTACTGAAAACCTCCTGCACTGCTTTGAAATAGGTGCTGAGGTAATTTTTATGTCCTCCTGGGAGTCTAGATGAGGCATCTATTTTAATGTATCCTCTTGATACTTTAATTCTTAGGAGCCTTTTAGTTTTCTGGTCAGTTTTAGGCAGAATGGGCATACTGTGCTGAAACTGCTTACAACTCTTTGGTCACCACAGGATTTCCAAAACCTCCTTAATTGCAGCTGCCTGTCTGATTCATAAAACAATGCTGTGGTATAGTGCTAGCTCACTTGCGAGATAAACAGGAAGCTATTACACCAGCCTCCCTCCTGCCTTCTCCAAAGTTGCAAGGCTTCCTGTGTGTTGTGGCAACGTGGACTGACTGCAGGCCCCTACTCGAACTGTCTCCTGCAATCAGAGCCTCCAAATTCTTCTGATAGCCTTCACCATGAAGTAGAGAAAGCCTTCTCCTCCAGGATGCAGCTGTAAGCAAACCCCAGGACAAAAGTTAAATGTTCATTGCTTTGTTAAAATCATTTTGTTTGAGAGAGCTTAGTGAGATTGGGGGCAAGACAGTGGAAGGTTTGTTTGCTTTACATTTGGAAGAGACCTTAAGGTTGCAGCTTTGTAGTTCTTTGAAAGTAGAGTCACAGGTAGACAGGATAGTGAAGAAAGCGTTTGGTACACTTGCTTTTATTGGTCAATGCATTGAGTATAGGATTTGGGAGGTCATGGTGTGGCTGTACGGGACGTTGGTTAGCCCACTGTTAGAATACTGCATATAATTCTGGTCTCCATGCTATAGGAAAGATGTTATTAAACTTTGAAAGGGTGCAGAAAGATTTACAAGGATGTTGCAGCGGTTGGGGGGGTTTGAGCTTTTGGGAGAGGCTGAATACTCTCGGTCTATTTTCCCTGGAGTGTCAGAGGTTGAGGGGTGACCTGTGTAGACGGGCATAGATAGGGTGAACAGCCAAGGTCTTTTCCCCAGGGTAGGTTTAAGGCTAGAGGGGAAAGGTATAAAAAGGACCTGGGGGGCAACTTTTTCACACAGAGAGTGGTACATGTATGAGCTGCCAGAGGACGTGGTGGAGGCTGGTACAATTACAACATTTTAAGGGCATGAGTGAGAGGGGTTTGGAGAGATATGGGCCAAATGCTGGCAAATGAGACTAGATTAATTTAGGATATCTGGTCGGCAGGTATGAGTTGAACCGAGTGGTCCATGCTGTACAACACTATGACTGTATGGTGTGCAAAAGTGATAAGTTCAGAGGTTGGGAAAATTGGAAGCAATGGGAGTGAGGGGGAGGGGCAGTTCATGAAATCAGGATTGCCTCCGATTTGAGTTGCAAATCCTCATTCTGAACTGGGTTTTTTTTTGATTTAGTGCTAAATCAAAGACGCTCATCACAAGGTGATGAGCATAGTTCATAGCCAGCAGTTACTTCATTACTATTGTGTTTGATCTAATAAATTCTGAAGTAACAATCTGCAACAACTTTTTTCTGCCATGTTGATTTGCCAATTGCTTATTTTGTAAAATGATTTCTGCAGAAACATTGAGGTAAATGTATTTTCAATTTTTTTTTTGTTAAGATTCCTCTTTCTCTTGCCTCACGTCCTCCAGCTTTTTGAAACAATCACTTCTAGTGAGATACTGCTGTCTATCAACAATACCATGGTGGTCATTGGTGAGGGATAGAGAAGAGTATTTAAGTAATTTGAAAGTGGAGAACCCTTCCACTTATGAACAATTGAAGTTTCCACACCAGGGGAAACAATGTAGTAGAAGTGTCTGTCCTTGAGCAATGGGAGACTTCATTCCTGTTTTGAAATCAGACTCCTACAGCGCATTTACAGTCTCAATTTAAAATTTATCATATTACAGCCAGTTTTCCCAGGGTTCTGAAAATGTTGAAAGAGAGGCGATGCTGATTGCCCACCAAAGCAACCCCCTCGTTCTCGTGTGTTCTCGGGGATTCTTGGTTTTTCCGATAGTCAGTCATAGGATTGGATTAAAGGTCCCCCTGCTGGAGGATTTGAAGGGGACATGGCACGTAAGATCCAAAGAGTGGTTTTCCCAAAGTCGACTTATCCACTCCTGCCTCCAGTTTAGTTTTGCCCATTTTAATTTAATCACCTGTGAGAGGAACCTATGCCAAGCTTCCAGCCTGGCAAGTTTGTATGCATTGGCTGTGGGGGTCTATCCTTCATCAAAGCTCCCCTGCTATTTTCCTCCCCACCCAACATCCACCCAAGGCGGAAAAGAGAATGACCTTTCAACCTCCCAGGCCAGGGCCTGCTGGCTCAGTACCTGGAGAGATCCCACTCTCTCATGGGCTGAGTACAGTGCAATTTGCCTCCTCATGTCCCCCTAGTACAGAACCAGCACTGGCCACGACCAATGGTGGTGCGATGGGTGCTTGGAAGCTGCTGTTCTCAGCTCTAAGGCAGGACTTTGTGTTCTTCAGTAGGTGCACGTCCCTCTTCCAGTCTAATGAACAGCTTATGACTAAATGGCTGCAGGTCATCTGTTCTTTGCCTGAGTAGCTCAGGAATTTCAGCAGGAGTGGAGTTGGGGAGGCCAGAGTATCTCGAAATGTGTCTCGAGTACAAATGCAGGGAAGTAAATCACTGGTTACAGCTCAAGTAGAACATTCCACCCAATTCTGTAACACTCACTTTCCAAAGGTCTCCAAGGACTTAGAAGATGAACGGGAATCGCCAGGATGGTAAATCAGATGTGACACTAACTAATCTTACAACTGAAGAAGCTGTACCTAGGTATCTTTGTACCTAAGATGGTGCAGTAATTGGCGACTTATAAACTTTTCACTGTACTCATTTGAGTGTATGTGACCAGAAAGCTGATTCAATTCAATTGTGCAGGAAGACCTAATGAAGACAGGATTGCTCTCCATGGAGCAGTGTGGGGGAAGATTTAAAAGAGGTAATCCAAATTTGAGAACCTTTTGAGTGAATGGAGAGAAACTGTTCCTATGCACAGGGCTGTTGATAACCAGAGAACACAGCTTTTAAAGATAATTGGCAAACAAAAGCTGAAGGGTAGGAATGTTTTGGGGAGATAGCTGTGCAGAGAAGATTCTTTAATTTAGTGAGTCACTGTGTTCTGGAACACTCTGTCTGAAAGGGTGTTGAAAATGATTTAGTGGTGACTTTCTCTGGGGCGTTGTACTTGAAGATTACAGGCATAGGAGGAGAAGAGAAAATGGAGCAGAGATGATTTGATAGCTGTTTTCAAAGATGGGCAAAGGATCAAATGGTCACCTTTTTCTGCACTGTATTGATTTTTCTTGCAAGCCGGTTGGAAAAGAGAAATTGTAGCACTACATGCTTTAAAAACAATAACACAGGTATGATAACCTGATGACATCAGGCTCCTAGACCTTCCACAGCCCGTTGTTATCGCTGCTGTTTGAAAGCAATGTCTCTGTCTTTAAAAAAAGTGTTCAGCTTTCAAGCATTTCATCAAAAAATTTGGAGCTCGACTTTCAGGAGGCAATGTCCTGAAGCACTTCAGACAGAAGTGTGATGAAAATCTGGAACACTCTTCCTCC